CATGTCCATTTAGTCGTAAGTAAATACTTTCATATAGGCATTATCTGAGAACGATGTACTTTCTTACTGATATCTTATCACATTGCTTTCAATTGTAATTTCTGATAGTTTTAGTTGAACTTAAATTGGGAAATTGTTGTGACAATCTCATAAAGAGAAATAGAGACATTATTAGAATTCTCATTTTTCCTTTCGCTCATGTTCGACATCCATTATTGACGATAACATACTTGAAGATAAGCACAATGATGAGTATCTATCGTAAATCACATCGTTTTGTATTCTCCTAATTAAAGAGTCATTGCATTATCTTTTCATTCGTTTTTACTCGTTGGTTGCTAATGATCCACGTAATGAATACGATCTATGCTCTTGTCAAAACGATGTTGCATTACGTTTCAAGTAGATTGAGATAGGCACAATCGATAGTGATCGTTTCCGTACTCTCAGCGCATCGACAAGTGTCGATACTCAAATCGCGTGTTTGCTCATTCTCTGTCATGGACACTTAGAATGATCGACAAGAGAGCAAATGAAACGCTCCATCTTTACGTCATCGTGCTATATCCTCTTGAGTTATCAGCTAACGATGCGCGACTAAAATACCCTCGATAGATTGGATCACGAAGAAAAGTTCATCTGTGTTTGGGGAATTTAACGGTTTCAAACGAAGAAAGTGTTTTCTTCGTTTAAAAAACATGTTTACGATCAAGTAGGACCACACTTTGATGATGAATCAATGCAATGGAGACGAACAGAAGGTATCTTTGCTTGCTCTTAGAGACAAGATGTTTCGTCGTTGATATTATTTCTTCATCAAAATTTCAAGTGTCTGATGCCGACAAACATTTTGACTTTTTCTTTTATTCTCATTTGTTTGAACATCGAACNATGCTGTCAAATTAAACAGCTATTCACTAACATACTGAAAGGTATAGATCATTAAGCAAGGATAATACTTCGATGATTTTTTTCCCAACAGGTATTCATACGAAAGTGAACTAGCTTCATGGTTCCACCCATCTCGCTATGTGATTTCATTCTCGTTTCAATGATGATAAATTAGTGTGTCATGGATAGACGTTTCGCCAGCTGTGTAGGAGACAAATTAGAAGTGTGGTATATCCGTCGAAAGTGCGAGTACGAACAATTAGTTCTCGTTGTCTGTTGATGATTGAATCAACGCATCGAGAAGAGTTTTTCCATTAAGTAGAAATGAATGATTTATTCAATGGATTGTTTTCGTAAATGAGTACAAAATTTTCTCCCAATATACTGATACTAATTCGTCGAAAAACCTGAAAAGAAAAACAATTGAGTAGTACTCTTTATTGATTTAAGATCAATCCATGATCAATTCGTTTTAACACGTTGTTTGATACAAGCGGGATGCACTGCTGTGTGTATTTGAACTTCGATTTTTTTTCTCTTTCTCTTTAATATCTATTTCATTCGTTGCTCACCTTAAGATGCGACTCAACTAGCTTTAACAAATTAGTCTTCGCACCGTTATGTTATTGTTGATCGTTTTCGACTCTTTCTCATGCTTGATAATCACTCCTGTCCCGCCTTTCGCCTGTATTTCTTTTCGTTTTTGTCCTCTGGCATCATTAGCAAACTGGTTTTCATTGTGCATTTTTGAACATCGATTAAGATGCCCGGTAGGCATCAGTCTCTGCTTCGTTTTCTTTCACCAGAGTAAAAGACAATAAGCTTAGATTTATTATATCATTAATTGACGAGCACTTATCGCCGCCATTGCAATATTCAATGATCTCAACCGGAATAATCTTCCACCTCGAACGAACTTCATTGCAAATATTGAATCTGATAAGATTATCGACTAACGTTTTTCTTCTCTTCTTTTCATGAATTGATATAATGGCACACTTTAACAGAAAAAAAATGCAAATCGAGATGTTGATCAAGTTTGATTTTCAGATTAAACGCCTCCTCCTATTGTTCATGCGTATTGAAGCGAAGCCCGTGTATACACAGAAACTTTTATGCAATCATCACGTTGAATATGTATGCATATAACGATGTTGACCATGATTTTAAATCAAACCTTATTTATTTATATACACATTGAATGAGAGCAAAGAAAACGTTTCATTTAGCGATCGGATGCGGAAAAACAACAATGCATATCATGAATAAAATATCCTCCAAAATCGAAACACGAAAGAAGGAGGAGGTTTCACCAGATTAACGACGTGGACTTGTCATAAGTTTTTTGTTTAACGCCTTCAGTCAGAATTAGACATGTGGATCAGATCTTGATAGTGCAAAGATCGTGTAAGATGGTTATCGATCAAACAATCTTGTTTTTATCCTCTTACACCTTCTCTCTCCTCCCCAAATATTCATTGGTCAGTTCGTTAATGAAAAGAATGATTGAAAGAAAACGAATCTAAATCGATAGACTAATTTCTCTCTCTTTTCCTTTTTCTCTATTCATGATTGGTTGATTGCCTTTCTTCTCTACCAATTGTTCACACTTCATTTTCAATATATAGAGCTTCATTCCATTCTCCGAACATATTCCTTCCTCCGACTCGATAACATATCAAAACATGAAATTCTGCTGTACCAGTGGCATTAGCTCCAAACAACGAGTAAGTCATCCGACAACAATCCGAATAGGAAGCCATCAACGCTTGATCTTTGTGAAACAAGTTTCTATTAATCCCATTAAAAATTGATTATTTCGATCGGAGAGCAGTTTGTCTTAAGAGTACACATGAGAAAAAAGAAAGAGTATGTTTCGGTTGATTTTCCTGCTTTTGAATCTGAACGAAAAGGTTCATTGAAGCACAACGTGATCATAGAAGTCATAATTTGTTTTCTGTTGTTGTTTGCTATGAGTATTGATCTATTTTTCCACTTGAAATATTCTTCCATGTTTGATCTATTTTGTTCGTTTAGAAATCATTGAATAAAACCAATGAAAAGAAAATGAAAAAATCGAAAGAAAAAATAAATCATTCATTGTTATCCTCGTCATCGTCATCATCATCGATTTATTATACGAACATGTCAATGCCTGCAATCAAGAAATACGATAGTGGTTTTTCCGAAACTGCCACAACTATTTCATCTTCCACACAACATTCGGAAACTTTGTTGGAACACATGTATTCGTTTGAAAAGATTTACTATGAGCATTTGAAACAATACATCATCAAGTATTCACGACCTTTACGAAGATATCTGAATCCTGATGAAATTGTTGATCTTTTTCAAAATATCGAAAAAGTAAGTGAAGAATTTGAAGGAGATAATGAAAGAGAACGCTCTCTTATTCTTTGTAAATAGATTTCTGCAATTTCCGAATCCATTCTTCGTCAATGTGAAAAATTACTAGATGGTGAAAATATGTCAGACATACCAATATCGGTTATTTATCAATCATGGGTATGTGAGACTTTTCGGAATGAAAAATTCATCCTCTACGAAACGATGCTTTTCTAGTCCGGTGTAATGATTGACTCGTACAATGGTTATTTATCACGCAGTGCACAAGCACAAACTGCTTTGAAACAATATCAAAATAAGATTGCCTATTTTCTACAAGTAAGGTCGAAAATATTGACTTTAACTAACAATAAAAGATTATGTTTTGTAGATTCCAGTGGAATACATCGCCCGAGAAATTACCGAATTTATTTTCTTACCAGTGCAACACATTTGTAATATTAACAATCTATTGCAATCATATATCATTGAACATCCACCTGTGACACACAGTATCGATTGGAAGATAGTCGAAGGTAAGATTCACCAGAATGACTAAGAAAAAACCAGATGCATCTGTTGAGTTATTCTAGATGTGAGACTGTTAGCACGGCAAGCGGCTGTGATTTTTCAATCATCAGGTGTTAACCAACATGATAATACAGTATCAACAATAGAATCATCGATATACTATGCACCGAATGTTACATTGGAAACATCACAAGATACAACATTACAGTCAGAAGTTTTATCAACGATTGTTCTTCAACGTATGAATAAGGAACCTTGGACACCGGTAAGCCTTTACAAACTATTCCATCTTCGAAGGCTAAATTTTCATTTTGGTTTAGAAAAGAATCGATTTGTTAGATGGACGACTTAATTTGACTCGTATTGATGGAACAAACGTGTCATCGTCATCAACGAGCTTCTCCCTGGCAAATGTCGTTCATATACAAGAAGATCAGTCAAATGACGAATTACGTATTGTAATTGCTGGATCAACAAATAAATCATCGAAACATACATCAGTGAAGATGATGCGTTTGCGTCTACGCTTCGAACATAAAAGTGAATACATGATTTGGCTGCACTGGTTGAACAATGCAATTCAACAAGCGAAAGATCAAAGTTGGTCGAAGAAAAATGAACTTGTTATTTAAAAGAAGGAAAAATGTGTATCTTGTAGTGCATGTGTGCTTTATTTGTAACTATTTTTTAATTTAACTAAATAAATTAGATTTGTTTGGATAAATGAATGTTTCATCAATCATAGATTTGATATTTACAAAAGGGTTTATCAGCATCGAATGATCATTGTATATCGTGTAAAGTTCAGTGCTGTCATTCGTATGTCCCATCGTGGAGCTGAAAGTATGAATTATGGAAATGTCAGGGCTTAAGCTCAGCTTGAATAATAGTTATAGTTGGCGATAATAAGATTGATGCAGAGGCTAGCGCCATCTATAAGCCTAGATAATAAGCAAGAATTGAAGTAGACATGATTAAATGAAAATTCTAGTTGAATTAACCTAATTTATGATTGTCAAACTTCATTAGGAAAGTAAATGTTATGTTGGTGTTTGTTCTCCAATTGGATTCGGTATGAGTTGTTTACAACTCGAATTCCAATGTATACGCTTTATCGTCCGTCTTCGTCGTTTCGGATTTGAGGAGAATATTAATTCTTCGTTTTTTACATCAAAGATATTTTCATGAAGATTTGATAAAATTTTTCAGATCACCAAACAAGAAAACAAAAAATGACATCGGGCTACTCCGTACTTCAACTAAAAGATGACGATGTACTAAAAATTCTTGCAGCTCAACTTCATATTGGCTCCAAAGATGTCGACTATCAAATGGATACATATGTTTGGAAGAAAAAACCAAGAAATGAAGGTAAAACTGAAGATGGTATGATTGAAAACTGCCATGATATGCCTTTAAGGTACATCAATCATCAATATTCGCAAATTCTGGGAAAAGCTAACACTAGCTGCTCGAGCTATTGTTGCTATTGAAAATCCAGCTGATGTCTGCGCCATTTCGTGTCAACCACAAGGTAAGAAATGAATCCATTCTGTTTAAAAGAGAGACAACATTCTTTTTCAACATTCAGGTCAACGTGCTGTATTGAAATTTGCCAAATATACTGGTGCAACAGCCATTGGTAAATCAAATTGATTCATAACTATATCTGAAAGTATAAGCTTGAATTTTCTTTTTGTTTTAACAAGCTGGTCGTTTTACACCTGGTTCATTCACCAATCAAATTCAAGCAGCATTCAAAGAACCACGTTTGATTATCATCACCAACCCAAATGTCGATCATCAAGCTGTTGATGAAGCTTCATTTGTCAATATTCCAGTTATTGCTTTCTGCGATCCATCAACATGCCTTCGTTATATTGATATCGCTATTCCAGCCAATAACAAGGTAATTTGCAATGTCTTTGCTTCATTTAATTTCTTTTTTTCTATAACGTTTCCTTTAGGCCAATAAATCAATTGGTCTTATGTGGTGGTTTTTAACACGTGAAGTACTTCGATTACGTGGTGATGTCCAACGAAATGCACCTTGGGACGTTATGGCTGACTTGTTCTTCTATCGTGATCCAGAAGAAGTAAGAATATCATGATATATTACGATTATTCCGTTAGGATAAAATGATTTCTCTCTCAGACGGAAAAAGAAGATCAAGTTGCTCTTACTGGTCAAGATCGTGATAACCAAGGACATGGATTAGACTCGAATTATTACGATGAAGGTCCATCAATGATGCCAGCTGCTGGAAACTTCGCCGGCAACCAAGAAAACTGGGGTGCATCGGCTACCGATGGCTGGACCAGTGGTGCAGGTGGTGCAAGTGGTGCAGGTGGCGCTGAATCAAACGAATGGAGCGCATCTAATGCAGGCAACACTGGTGTCTCAAGTCACTGGTGATTTATACTAGAAAAAGATTCTTTGTTTTCCCAAGCATCATTTAGCCTAATTCATCACAAGAACAAGAACGTTGTTACTACAGCTAATAGCAACATCAATAACAGTAGTAACAGTACAGTGTAATACCGTTGGGCTCATATTTAATAAAAAAAAAAAGGAAACTAAAAAATCTAATATACATATACACACATATTTATTTATTTATTTATATAAATCTTTTTATCTCTTTTTTTTTGTTTCTGTTTGCAAGATTGAAAGGTTGTGTGAGGCATTCTGGTTTCTATGGGAGTGAAATGCTCAAGAAAAGCGTATTAGCTGCATACATGCTTGATCACGTCTGAGTCATTTAAGTTTAAGCGCGCAGAAAAAAGAAGAATCGAGAGACAGAGAGTAGAAAAGACAAATACATCACGAATCGTTTACATACATCGCCGGGAACGAAGAAGAAAAAAAGGCGAAGTAAAAAAATGAGCGCAAATACTTATTTCTGTTCTTTCATTTTACCCTACTATTCGTGTAGCCTACAGAGACGCACGCACACACATGCTTCTGCAGCGCATAAATGTGTTGCCACGACAAATGATGATTAACGAACAGATCATTCGATATAAATAAACAATGTTATTTGACTTTAAACAATTGAAGGGATCGAATACTCTTTTTTCATTGTAGATTATTTCATAATTTCTATATTTACTTGTCTCTTCCATATTTAACAATGCTTATCACCGAATTCCGTGTTATCCTACCGATGACTGTCGAAGAATATCAAGTGGCACAGTTATATGCAACAGCAAAAGTTTCGAAACAGAATACAGGCGGCGGTGAAGGTGTAGAAATTCTAGCTAATGAACCATTCCAAAAGTCCATGTCGGAAGCATTCCTTGGCAGATACAATACTGGCCAGTATACGAAAAAAATCTATCACCTAGGATCTCGTGTACCCGGTTGGGTTCGTTTAATATTTAAGGATTCAACATTATCATTGAATGAAGAAGCTTGGAACGCTTATCCATATTGTAAAACCGTGCTGACGAATCCATTCATGAAAGACAATATGATTATTGATATTTCAACATTACATGTCGCTGATCGTGGTGAATCCGAAAATGTACATCAACTGACAGGCGATGAATTGAAGAAGCGTAATGTTGTTTATATTAACATTGCCGACAAAGTCAATCGTGCTGATTATAAACCTGAAGACGATCCAGAGAAATTCAAATCAGTCAAAACTGGTCGAGGGCCACTTCTCTCAACCGAACCATGGTTCAAGACATGTCAACCGTATATGTAAGTGCTTTGTTTTTTTTCTTCTCCGAGCTCGGTGACGTCAGACAGCCGGATACGATCGAATAGGTAAACCAGTATGGTTGAAAACATGTTTCAAGGTGACAAGAAAGCCTTCTCGAAAACTGCATGTGTCTCTACAATCTAGATGAACATGTATTCATTCTTCTCGTTTCTTCTAGGTGCTGTTATAAACTGGTTCGAGAAAAATTCAAATGGTTCGGTATTCAAACAAAAGTAGAAAATTTGATTATGTCTCAAGAAGAACGCCTATTTCGAAACTTCCATCGGCAATTGTTCTGCTGGACGGATGAATGGTATGGCTTGACTATGCAAGATATTCGAGCTTTGGAAGCAGCAGCCGTCGACGAACTAAACCGAGAACGTAGAGAAGGACAAAAGAAAGGTTTTACTACGGACGAATAGGTACTCATTTACTTTTCTCTCTCTTTCTCTCATTCGCGTTCAATTGTTAACGAAATTCTCTCATTCATGCATTCTCTCATTTACTTCCTCTTTTTTCTTATCCGTTTGATGTCTAATGACGATGTGTGTGTCTCCATATATATTCCATAATGACTATAAACAATGTTCTCAAAGAAAATGAATATTCAACCAAGCATTCTAGATCTTGCGTGCTTTTCTCCCTAGGTCTTTTCAAGCCATTTATTTTCGCGTACATGTTTTTTTCTTCTCGTTCTAAAAAACAACACTTTATTTCGATTCTCTTTTTTTTCTTCCTGTTTGATTTGCATTTTCTCATTATTTTTATTCGTGTTTAAGAAAAAGAACTAGTTTATACCATCGAATAAAACAAAATCGATATTTTTTATACGATTGTGCATAAAGATATCAACGAACTCTATCAGCTTTTCATTCTGCTCAACTATTTATAACATATCACTATAAATAATGCAAAAAAATCACTCACACACCACAACATTTTCGTTCCCAATTACTTTTGTAGATAGTTGATGATGATCCACATAATGAAAATGGCAAAAGATTCTTTTTTGAATAAACCTTATTTCCTTGTTCTCATAGATAATCACATCTGTATTTTTTGAATATGCTAATTCTCGGTTTGACGGGTGGCATAGCCACTGGTAAGACGGCAGCAAGCGAATATTTCAAGGTCCAAAACATTCCAGTCGTTGATGCCGATCAAATAGCACGTCTTGTTGTTGAACCTGATCAACCCGCTTACAATCTAGTTGTAAAGCATTTCGGTCATATGAACATTCTCGAATCGAATAGTCGGAGAATCGATCGGAAACGTTTAGGCGATATTATCTTCGGTAATGATCAGCTGCGTAAACAACTAAATCAATGTACACATGGTTTTATCCGTCGTGAAGCGTTCAAACAAATAATCAAACATTTCTTTCAATTCCATTCTTTGATTATTTGGGATGTACCGCTGTTATTCGAAGTTGGTCTTGATAAATATCTATCGCATACATTAGTGATTTGTTGCGATGAATTATTGCAATTAGAACGTTTGAAACAACGTGACAATATTCAAGATGACCAACAAGCATTAAAACGTATAAATGCACAAATCAATATAAAGGAAAAATGCCGACGAGCGCGTTATGTTATCGATAATAGTGATACGAAGGATGTTTTACACAAGCGATTGCAAGCATTTGTGTCAACAATCCAACCGAGTCAATTGTCTACAATAGCATGGTTTGTTGCACTTTTCATACCTTTATCTGTTGTTTATGGGATTCTTCGTCTGTGGGATTTATATGATCAATGGAGTAATCGACAATAATTTGTGATTGGCGCTTTTGATTTGAATTGAGAATAGAAATCAAAATAATATTTCGTTTCATTGTCTCGGATTCTATTCATGTATACTTATTCTTCACTTGTAAACAAACTTTTTTTAAATAAAAGATTATCGATCAGATGAAAACAGTTCATCGTTCGAAACATACTCGACTATCTTATCGAAGACATCACCACCAACATCAACAAGTTTCCAAGTCTATTACCAATGACGATGATGATGAATCTGATGGTGAACGCGAAATACTCCAACAAAAAGCGGTTGCACGAAGTAACAAAAATGCCAATCAAATGCCTCTTTCATTATTCGACACAGTTTCAAATTTACCAGTGGAAAATAAACCGCACGAAACTCATCCCACCCCGTCTGACCAATCATTTTTATATCTTTACTCTATAAATAGTCTACCAAAGCCAACTGCTGTCTCCGATGATTTGACTCCATTGACACGCACAGCAACAAATACAACTGCTCTGACTGTTCTGACATGTAGTAACAGTAAACTGACTGAAACAGTGAAAATCGATTTAACTGAGTTAACAAGTACTGACACACTGGATATTTCAGATCGTGACCATTCGTTATCACTTAATCGAAAACGATCAGCAGTAGACATAAATAACAAAATACCAATATGTGACACTGACACAAGTATGAAATCAGTGGTGTTTTCTAAGATGAATTCATTAGACGATCAATTGTCCTATCAGAAGCACACATCATGTTTTGCTCTTCCCGGTATTGAAACTGCAGACTCCATGACAATGGGTATATCAACAATACAACAAAATATATCATTACCAACAACAATTATTACTAATGTAAACACTTATCAACGCCCACCAGTGAGATGGAATCCATCTCGATGGTCCTTGCAAAATATGACAAGCAACATTAAACTACTCATTGGTTGCTCGTCACTAAGTTTAATTGCTGGAATCGTAATTCTTATTATTATATTATAAATCAGAAACGCTGAAAACAAGGAATTTGGGATTTAGCTCTAAGCATGAGATTTGTTTTCGACGAGTTCTATTTTCTAGATTGTTTACAGTATATGCAATTAGATAGAAGTTCAGCTGATTAGTATAAAGTGGAAATCATCAAGACATATTCCTTTAACATTTTCATAGTTAATCTGATGTCAATCGAACGAAACCAATCAAAATCATATTGTTCTTTTAGTTCTTGAAAGTAACAACAGTTATTTGACTAATAAATGTCTTATAAAACTTCATGGATCGTCTAGTATTGAGTTACTGATGTCATTATATATCACAAAACACACATCAAGAGAGCAATTTTATTTATCGTGATAAAAAAAACGTCCCTGTGGCTTTTCCTCCAAAGAAGAAGGAAAAAAATGACTACTATCGTATCCATTGTTCCTGGGAAAGTTTGTTTTGTAATCAATCGTCTTCATTCTTTTTTTTTATCGATCTCGGTAGAACTCTAGGACACTTTTATCTGATGTGAATAGATCAGTTATGGCTATTGATTGAGCAACTTATGATCAAATGAACTATTCAATAGACACTTGTCGTTCTTTTCTGCTAGACTATGGCTATAAAGGCGCCGAATTTACACACATTATCTGATCGTTCTCTATTAGACAGTGATGATGATGGTGTCGTCTCATCATCTCCTTGAACAGTCGATGACGACTCAATCGATGCTTAATGGCTGAAGAGGAGAAAAAAGAAATGCAGCATAACTAGTGATTCGCTCCATTATGTTCTCAATAGATTCATGCTTCATTATCACTTTCAGTCATTGCCTCTTAGTTTCTCTTTTCTTTGTATCATCAATGGCGTAAGTACCAAAAGCTTTTACTATCGATGATGATGATGATGATGGTGTTGATGTTGGTAGAGCAGAAATTCTGCGAAAGAAATCAAAAGAAAGAAAATTCTCCAACGAACTCATCATCTTCTATATACATAACACGCAACATTAACAGAATAGACAAATAAGTATATAATACCTCATCGGTTGAAAAGAAATTCCTTAAGACTTATTATAACTGTCACAATTATCTCATTACGATATCGAGATATAATAATTATCAAGTCAATTGTTCATGACTAAAATAACAGATAGCAAATGAGAGATTTGTTTTCTTCCTCGCTGTCTCGCTCTTCATACACGAACAAGAAAAGGAAAATATTAAATAAATACCGACATAGAAAACGCATATGAGGAGAGAAGTTCTCCTTCAAAATGGAAGTTGTCTCTGAGATGATTTCATTCCACTTTTTTCTTAACGCGTTTCCTTATTATGCATTTGCTTGCGTGTTCAATGTTGCGCACATTCTATTGACGTCGTTCTAACAGCCATCATCTTCATCTTGTATGGATGTTCATCCCTATCAGTGAGACAAAAGCAGCCTTCTATTCGATTTTGTCAATGTCACACGTTTTTTAATCATAATTAGACGAGATCATTTGGTATACAATTGACTAGAAAAATCTTTTTTTTGCCTGAATTCGAACTCGGTAGAGATGTATTGTAAACCGATTAAATAAATGAGAGGTAATAAGATTATTTAATGTTGTCTTGTCAATTTTGCTGGCGGCTAATTGGAAAAAACTGTCAGTTTTCTGATCTATTGCCTTTTATAAATGGTATAGTAGATATACAATAGAACAAAGCTGATTTTTGTTCGTCAACGTAAGTAATGATTGATGATGTCAATTGGTACATTTTCTGTCCTCACATGTGTATAGACTTTGTTGTTGAGTGATGAACAAAGAAGTTCTTGTATTCATGCATTCGCTGAATCTCTGAAGATTTCTAAATTCACGCACGTAATCTATGAGAATGGGTAAATGCATGAACAAATGATTGGTAAAACAGAAGACTACAAGAAAATTGTTGTAGTGGATTGTTTTATTACGTTATTCGTAAGCATTGCACGTTTCTCTCCCCGATGGACAGCAATAGCATGACCAAAAAGTCACACAATACATATAAACATGATTTCTTTTACCTCCTTTTCTTCTTCTTCTTCTCTCTCTCTCTCTCTCTCTCTCTCCTTCTCATTCTGTTATCAGACTCTGTTCATTCAATAACTATGACTGTTACTATTCCTTTTTATTGCGCTTCACTGTGTTTCTTCTCCTTCCATAATAAGCATGCTTGATTCTCGCTCTACTCAAAACAAAAACGGAAGTCCTTTACATNTGAAGATAATTTGTCAACTAGATAATTGAATATCCAAGTTGATTCAGGTGTTGGCAATAAAGCACGTAGGAAACAATTGCCTGTCTTTCTGTGTTTTAGTGTGTATTGAAGATAGTCTATTTCGTCGTTATCGTCGTTTACGTACTTCGAGTGACAGTAATAATCCACCCGGTACTCCATTTGTCATTGTTGTCTCTGTTTCAATTGATGATTATTTTGCTGTGCTTAATTGTTCTACACCCGAACGTGTGTCTCATCTTAAACTTGATTGGTATTTTCAAACGCGTGCCTCGTTAAAACCTCCACGCGTCATCTGGCAACGTGGTTATTCAAATAACCCTCGATATACAGCATATTCACCCGATCAATTGCAGCATTTCTTTCAAATCAAGTCTGTTAACTTCAACGACAGTGGTACCTATATGTGTGTCGATCAAACAACCGGTTTTCAGGATCGAGTGGAACTTCTCGTTCGTAAGTTGCATTCTATTGCATCATGCATTCTTTCTTTTTCTCAATATCCACTTGAACACAATTCAATAGTGAAGTTTCTCTTACTTCATTATGAGTAGAGTATCTATAGCTGAGAATTTCAAAATCGACATTTTACGAACGGAGAAAGAGTAACTGATTATGCAAAGGGTTCCCTTTAAATTTGATAGATGATGAATAGTCGAAGACAAATGAAATGTCCTTATCTTCTTATTCGTCGAAGATTAAACGACTAAGCTGACAGAAATCTTTCTTTTTTACTTTTAGGGGACAGTCGTAGTTGTGCAGCCAGCGGTATTCGTTTACAAGTGACAACTCTTGTCTGTCTTGTCTTATTCTCATTATATTTAGCTCGACGGACCGCAAGTGAGAGTCAAGTGACATGATCACTACTCTTATTCTGTATTTATATACATTACACTTGTCAATGCACGTCTTCCGTCCATCAATGTTCTCACTTTTGATATGACACAAGAGAAAGAAAATGAATTTTAATTAAATAGATTTACGATTGGTATATGCGAGATCATACGTTGAAAGAAGCCTCAGGATTGTAGTGTTCATTTCTTATTCTTCTGATTTTGTAATTGAACAATAATAGAATTGATTTTTTTAATGAAGAATGCAAATGATATGTGCCGTTTTTTTATTTATTATTATAAATATGATCACATTTATGAACAGCTGAACTTTGTTCTCGTTGATATATAAAACAGATGATACTAATAACAAATAAGAACTTCTTTCGTAATCATCCTTTTCTCGAGAGAAGGCAACAATTAGTTCCGAATGAACTCGGATTTGTCTCTTATGTTGAAAGATTCCCTCGATTTTTTTCTACAACTAAGATGCATTTGATTACATGCCGACTTCGAACTCTTTTATCAGACTGAGGAGGAGTGCGCAAATCTTGGCCTTTAATCCAATATATTAGATCGCTGTTGCTGTTTTTTCCTCAAACTCTCTTCACCTGTTTAATGTTAATATTCAATGCCAATGATTAATGTATAATAGACAAATAAATACAATGCCGTCCAACGCCAATGAAAAGTAGAAGAAAAATAGAAATATGTAAATCACGACTTGAAGAAAACAAACAACAATGAGATAATGGAATACAATGTCGACAAAAATAGCCAGAGAGAATTCCACGAAGAAGGAGAAGGAAATCAGATCAATAAATAAGATTTGTTCATTCCAGAAAGAAAAAGGAACAGGTTACTTTTATCGTGTGAGTATTATTGGCAGAGATAAACATGAACCTCATCAACAACAATCGAAAGAGTTGCATGACTAGCCGATATGGAATAAAAATATATATTTGAAATTTAAAGACCCGGAGGTTTCTGAATATTTGTATCGTAGGTTCGTATGAGCTGATTTTGTGGTACAACACCGTCTTCTTCTTGTGAAAAAGCAAAACCATCTAGGAAGAAAATTGAATCGGTGCGACGATCAGAAAGGGAAATGTGTATGACTTACGATAAGGTCCAGGAATAATTCCCGACATTTTCGGTGTTCGCGTTCGAACAAACACGCTTTTTAATAAAGCGAGTCGTTCTGCAACACGCGACACGGTTGATGTTTGTCGAGCCATGACTAAATCATACGGATCTTGATTTGCAACTTCTTTTTCTTGCACTTCTTGCATCAAAGTTTTGTAAAGTGTTCGTTGCAAACTACGTCGAAAAATTTCAAATGTGAAAGAACGAGAGGAGATCATATCAATTTGATTTACCAATTATAGATGAAATCAGCCAATAATGCAGTTATTGGAATCAAGATTAAACCAAACCAAAAATACATGCTTGAGAAAACGTACTTTGCCTTGAAAGACAATCACAATCATGCGTAGGAATATCTAGACATCAGTTTGAACTTCGAGAGAATACTTACCATACCACGCATTTCCGGCGCCAATGGAATTGTTGGCCAGATATTACTGTAGATAATGAAGAACACAAACCACGAAGCAATACTTCCCCAAATAGCAATATGTGTAAGCTGAAAAGAAATGCTAGATCAAGAAAATGTTCAGTTTAGTCTTTGTTTACCATTGTCCATGAATCACTTTCCAATCCAGCTTTGAGACAAACGACAAAGATAACATACTAAAATATTCACAGAAGAAGAAGTTTCGAGTTTATTCTTCGATTTCATCATTTAATACATATAGTAGAGTCATGCAAGAGATTAGATTAAAGCACAACATATTAGACCAGACATACCGTGTAAATCATATTGCCTAGGAGTAAATAATCGCCCGCTTGTCCGTTGCTATATGCAACGTCTATGGACAAAAAAATGAGCAAGCAAAGGTAAAAAAAGATTGCATGCAAATTATTATACAGTCAAGTATGAGTAGAAACTTTAGAAATGATAATGAAGCTTTAAACAGCTAATGAGTGGGAGGTTAGTTATTAAGCATGACTTAAAACTAAAGAGCAATCTCAAATTACAGTGTAAACGCAATTGCCCAGAAATAGATGACTTCCGAAAACAATTCCATTAGGATGAGCAACATCTATAAACAAGAACATTTTTCTTTTCGGATACATTAGTGATCTCATTTGTGTTCTGTGAAATCTTTCAATGAATAATTAATTCAATGACATACCATGTCGAAGCATAGCGTAGGACATGAAGTAGAGAATAATTGAATGATAAACAGCGTTCAGACACCAACTCCAGAAAACCTGAAAACAATTTAGTTGATCAGAAAGAAAACCAATTCGTTCGAACGGAATTTACTTTAATATTGAAGTCCGATCGATTTTGCGACATCTTATAAATGGCCGGAAATCTCATCATTGTCTCTGCACTACAACATCGATCTAGTAATCCCAAGGCCATTGGCGGCGCTGCAGTAAATAAAACATTGTAAATTGCTATTGTCCACCGTTCAAAGAGAATTTGTCCAGAAAAACCATTATGAAATGCAAACCAAAGCTAAAACAATTTCATCGAATAGCATTGTACACATTTGATTCTATTGAAACTTACTTCCATGACATAGAGACAGATGTTTTTGTAGAAGGAATAAAGTAGTACTTTGCATAAACGTCGGTAACTCCAAACACCGTGAACGAATAATAATTTCGTTAGAAATCGAAATTGCCCAATGGTATAGTCCGATGCGCATGCAGCTTGAACACCTTCTCGACCCATGATTCCTACACCGACGTGTGCGGTTTGAATCATTCCAACATCATTGGCACCATCACCAACTGCTAAAGTTATTTCATTTGTTGATTGTTTAACTAATTCAACAACTTCAGCCTTTTGTTTCGGACTGACACTGGAATAGTTCAAGAAAAATCGATCGAAGTTCGCTGTCTATCATAGGAAATTCTTACCGGCAACAAATAACTGTTTTGCAGGATATTGCTAAGTCGAGAAAATCTTGCCGACAGGATGGTGATAATGCGTATTTAAGTGTTTTGCCTTCAATAATAAGTGAAGCAAGATTTTCTTTTCGTAATGAGTCGCCAAATGTTTGACAGTGTTCACGTAATTGACGTTGCGTATCCTAAAAAGTAACAATCATCATTCGTTTTCTAATAACACTTTCTAGTTACATCAAGGGTTGCTTCATCCAATGTTAAATTCAACAATTGATCCGATAGAAGTTTGCACGAATAACCAATATTAACGGCTGTTTCCTTTTTATCACCCGTCAATACCCAAATCTATGTGTCTTAGGAAATAGATTTCAGAGTATCCTTTGTCAAAAATATTACTTTGATACCAGCTTTCAATAACATTGATAAACTGTCTGGAACTTGCTGCAAATTTCAATAGAACATCCGTCATAATAATCGAGTTTATGAATACAATCACTGCTTACGTCTTGTAGTTTATCTTCAATACCGGTTGCACCCAACAGAATCAGATTTCTCTCAATTCTTTCTGCTACCTCAGCAACTAATTCGTTTCGATTGTTAATTGCTGTTGATGCTTCCCGATGTCGAACAAGCCATTCCTAACAGAACAAGCAACGAACTTCAACGTTCATTCTCACTCTCTATGTACCTTATACTCTTGATCAGTCAACGTTCGATAAGCAAGACATAATGTTCGAAGGCCGTCTTTAGCAAAACTTTCTAAATGTTCCATTGTAAGTGGAACATTTGGTTCATCGGCTACAAGTCGTTCCATGATGACACTATCCTATATGATCAAGAAAACTCGATGGTTATCTATGAAAGGTTTTTGATAAACTCACAGCGCCTTTACAATATAACTTGATTTCATTGTTGGGGGAACGAACAATAACACTCATTCGTTTTCGCTCACTAGAATAAAACTTTTTTCATAAAGATATGGGCGAATAGACAGATTTACCTGCTGAATTCCAAAACATTCAAGATCTCATATGTTTCTTCTTGACCACGCTAAACATTGCACAAAACGAAACTTCTAGCAACTGAATTTAAATCAATTGGACTTACAAAACTAATAACCACACTGTCAGGTGTACGACGAAAGAATACCACCCCCATTTCTTTCACTGCTGTCACCAATGCATATTCATCTACAACATTCACCGAAATTAACTTCTTCTTAGTACATAATTGATGGGTGTTACCTGGAGATGATGCTTGATACGCAACGTCATTGAATGAATCTGTGTTCAATTTATTTTCAGGTACAACTGTATGACATGTGGCCAAAAGCGTAAGAAATTCACGAATTTGTTTGCTACTAGTCTAAAAAATATGATCAATCAATCAATCATATTGACAGGTCTTAATACTAAACACCCTAGACAACTATTCTCGTCACGCGAGTGTTTTCAAGCACACATCTAATAATTCTTCCTTCACTAATACATCATGACAGATCGATCTATTGGAAGACAATCATGGCAAATACGAACTTACATGATACTCTAAGTTTTTCAACAGTTCATAACTATTAAATTCTGCAACATTTCCCGATCTAAAAGATCAAATATGTCGATTTTTAATCACACGCAATTCTTCGTTCTTACCCATACATAATACCACTGATAGTACACTGTTTGAAAATCATCACATTCTTTGTTAGTGTACCAGTTTTGTCGGAAAAAATATATTTCACTTGTCCGAGTTCTTCATTTAAATTAGATGTTCGTGCACTAGCTGGAGTATCAGTTTCCGGATCATACATATCTATATCCTATATTGAATTAACAAAGATACATTATTGCAACGGAAATTCATGTTTGGAAATTTCAATTTACCCAATTGATAAAATATGCTTGAATAAATTTAACAAGATCAATTGTTATTTGTAGAGATATAGGAATTAAATTGTTGAACAAGATAAAGAATGTCAAGAATGTATAACCAAAATGATTTGGTATCGAATCTAAAAATATGTATAACTATTACTATTTGAATGA